CATCAAGGATGCACTGGTCTATATGGTTGCAAAAGATAATCTGCCGTTATCAATAACAGAAAAACAAGGCTTCCAATTCTTCATGTAGAAAGCAGTTCCTATGTATAAGGTTCCATGAAGGAAAACTTTAACTAAAATGGTCAAAAGTAAATATGAAGTTTTATCCACATTAATTAAATCCAAACTAAGTCTTGTTGATCACTTAACCTCGGATATTTGGACTGACACACTAAATACAACAAGTTTTTTGGGCATGACTGTGCATTTCTTAAGTTTAAATAAAGTTGTTCTTGACAGTGTCACAATTGGCGTGTTGGAGCTGTCTGTTAGCCATAAAGCTGAGAATATTTCCACTTGGTTCGAATATCTTCTTGTTCAGTGGGGTATTAAAAAAAGCCAGATTTTCACAGTCGTCACCGATAATGGGTCAAATATATTATCTGCCGTAAACAAAACTTTTACCCCCGAAAAATATTTGCCATGTTTTGCCCACACTCTCAATTTGGTTTCAGAAAGGGCACTAACAAATCTTACTGATGTAAATAACGTTATAAACAAAATTAAAAGTATCGTAACTTCTTTCAAACAATCGGTAGCGGCTTCCGACGAACTTAGAAAATTGTGCGATTTCAAACTGAAACAATCTGTACCAACACGTTGGAACTCAATTTATTTTATGATGGATAGATTCATTTTATGTTCTAACCACATAGCTTCAGTACTAATAAATATTCGCCGGGGCCCCGAAATGTTGACAGCTGATGAGATCGATATAACTAAGGAAATGTTGTTAGTGTTAAAGCCGATGGAGGTGGCAACAAGGGAACTATGTGGTCAAAAATATGTTACTGGCAGCACAGTTATACCCTTAATTAACTGCCTTATTAAAAAAACCGAGAGTATTGATCTAACCCATCCTACAGCTTTGACCTTAAAGAGAGCTATGTTGGATAATTTGAATTACAGGTTCGGTAGGATGGAGGAGAGAAGTCTACTTAGCATTTCCACTATATTAGATCCTAGGTTCAAAACTATTCATTTAAATAATGCATTAGCCAGTTCAAGAGCTATTAAATTTATTAAAAATCAAATTAATGAAATTAAAAGTAAATGTGATGAACCTAGCTCCTCAAACCAAGGCTCTAGTGATGATGATGGTGAACGTAGTGATAGTTGTGGTCAGTTCACAATGAGCTGGTTACAAAAAAAAAAAGCTGCATCACAAAGTTCAGAACAGTCTGAAGAGCGAATTCTACCGAACTTAAACATGGCAAACTTGGCATTATTTAAGCCAACCCACAATACCATTAGGTGATGACATACTAAAATATTGGGAAATAAATGGCAATATGTTCCCTCTCTTAAAAAAAATTGTACAACCATATTCGTCCGTAGTAGCAACTTCTGTCCCTTCGGAAAGTTTGTTTTCTAAAGCGGGAAATATAATGACCGAAAAAAGAAACCGATTAAAGGGGGAGAAATTGCAACAGCTTTTATTTTTGAGTTCCCTATATTTTGAAGACTGGCACATAGAATAAATGTTATTTATCTGTACAGCCTTTTGTATATAATATAATTTGTAAATATGTGCAATGTAATGTATCTGTACAGCCTTTTGTATACATAATTTGTAAATATGTGTAATGCAATTTATCTGTACAGCCTTTTGTATATAGAATTTGTAAATTTGTATAATGTAATTATCTGTATGTTATTTGTAAATATGTACAAAACATTTAATGAATCAATAGTGAGCTAATGGTGCTTTAAACAAGAATAAGTGGCCCACGATTAGTCCATTAAATTTAATAACTATTGTAAAAAATATGTGAAAGTACTGTGGCGGACCGGTGCCACATGACCTCCCTCCGCAGTCGGTAGTATCGTTGTATTGTATAGGCGGTTGGTCACATTGCGTTCGCACCGGGCGGCGGCCGACTCACGCTCTCTCCTGGTATCTGCCTAACTGAACGCACGTCCCTTGATCCCTGTTACTGACGCCATTCTTTTCGCCGTTTGCACAGCCACTCGTCTCTCTCCCGCATCGCGCAACACGTGACTGACCGTCTCATCGATTGATTATCGATCGCCTTTTTTCGTAACAATTTTGTGTTGTACGTTCACTGCTCGAATTATTATCCCTGTATTACGGTGCATTGCATTAAAACACACCTCGACATCGCTGGCTACGTTCACGGCAACGGATCGACGTTTCGGTCACATCCATTTGGACCTCGTCAGCCCACTGCCTGTTTCGAACGGCGCTAAGTACCTCCTCACATGCGTCGATAGATTTACGCGTTGGCCCGTCGACAACATGTCCGCTCAAACCGTCGAGTCCACGCTGGTGACAAATTGGATCGGCCGTTTCGGAGTGCCGGATGTCGTCACCACGGATCAAGGGCGGCAGTTCGAGTCAGAACCAATGCACGCGCTCAAGTCAGATCCAGCACGTCCGCACTTCCCCGTATCACCCTCAAGCCAACAGACTGGTCGAGCGCCTTCACAGGACGCTCAAAACAGCGCTCACCACGCAAGAATCGCCACATTGGTCTCAGCGACTGCCCATCGTCCTCCTGGCCCTGCGCAACACCGTCAAGCCGGACACCGGCTCGACACCGGCTGAACTCGTATACGGGACGACCCTCCGCCAAGGGGGCGGTAACTCTATTGGCGAAAATAGTACATTAAAAATAGTTCATCCATCAAAAACTAGTGTCGCTGGTTTCTGTTCTCTTATATCTATGGTACTATCGCACTATCGCACAACCTCAAAAAAATTGACTGGTCTCTGGCTCTGAAAATCGCCAAACCGGCAATCCACATTTTTCTGCGAACGAAATCCGCACAATTCGCATCTTTATTTCTGTTCTTGGTTCGTAATTGATTTCTTCTGGTTGTATAAAATAGTATTTGCTTTGCACTTTTCGGAATTCAACAATTCAAAACATGGGTAAAGAAGCATACAAATGTTGTGTGAAAGGCTGCACATTTAAAGGTAATTTTATATGTATAATATTAATATAACTAATATTTGTCAGTGGCATTTTTGTTAAAAATTGTCAGGAAACTGCTTAGAAATGAGGAAAGCATAATGTGGTGCCTTTGCACCTACGTACGTTTTTGTTTCCCCATATCTTACTGTGTGTAACATGACATATTTACGTTCAGTAGAACAATATAAATATATAAGTAGGTAAATACCTACCTACTTGACAAACGTAAAATTAAATTTTCAATACTAGGTGGAATGTCACACCGTTTTCCGAATCCAAAAGTATATTTGAATGTGATGAATGAATGGATTCAAATATTAGGTGAAGAACAATTTTCTGGTTTAGACTCTTCAACTATTTATTTCAAAAAAAGAGTTTGCTCCAATCATTTTGATAAAAATGATTACAGTCCTGGATCTAAAATATTGAAGAAATGTGCAGTTCCAGTTCTAAATATTGGAAAGACAACTATGGGTAATTACTTTTTATTGTATACATATTGTATCCCAGATGTTTTCTTTTTAAATAAATATGTCTATATGTTGACTGTAAAGTGCTTATATGCTATCATATTTTTCTAGATCTCTATGGTTAATTTTATAATATTTAATTTTTTTTGTTTATGTAGATAGCTCTGGTTCTGATTTAATACAGTCGGTCATAGAGGTGCCGCATTATGCAATTAATGACTCAGGTAATTGGTTGTATATTGTGAATTTATTATAATAGAATAATTAATACATTTTGCTTAATCTTTCTAGATCAAAATGTCAACCGTAATGATTCTTTAGAAAACATAAACAACAACATCAGTTTTGGTTCTGTTGCATGTTCTGATTTAATGCAGTCGGTCATAGAGGTGCCGCATTCTGCAATTAGTGACTCAGGTAATTGTTCGTTTATTGTGAATTTATTATAATAGATTAATTTGTGTATTTCGCTTAATCTGTCTAGATCAAAATGTCAACTGTAGTGATTCTTTAGAAATCATTAGCAACAACGTTGGTTTTGGTTCTGTGGCATGTTCTAACTTAGACTTGTCAGGTTTTGATCAGCTCATTGATGATAGTTTTGGTAATTGGATATTTGATATGACTATAATATGAGACTTGTATGTTGTTTATATAAGTAATTCATGACTTCTAGGTGATGGTGTTGATAACAATAAGGTTATTATCCCAGATTATTTAACTCCAAATCAAAATCATGACCAAATAATGAGTAAGCAAAACTAATATTTTTATTTATTGTACTAATTATTCTCATTTAGAATTACTAGTTTGCTTAATTATTAGCTTGCTTAATTATGCGCCATGCTTATATTTATTATTTAATATCTGCAGCTTATGAAAATGCTTGTAGTTATGGAAGTACTGTTGGAACAAAAAAACGAAACGCAAAGAAAATTGGTTCTGGTTAATACATATTGAATTCATAAACATAAAATTTAATTTTTTTCTCATGACTCATAGTTAATATTTTGTTTTCATATAGGTTTGTTATCGACAATTGGTGTGAAACGAGCCAACTAATTGACTCCAAAATGCAAATCTCTTTATTCAGACACTGTTTGGTTAAACAAAGAACTTCGTCGTTCCAGGAAACACTGCAATACGTTTAAAAAACGGGTAGAACACGATTCCGCACGTTTATTGTTCTATATTACCTTTTTTTTTCTACCCAACTCCGTATTGTATTCGAATGCGACGTTGCCATGTAACGAATGCGATTCCGCACGTTTATTCTTGTAACATGAAATTGATACAATTAGTGCATATTATTTAGGGACCTGAACTTTTCCATATTTACCACGACATTTCAAGTTCAAACTAATTGAAAATAAGATAAGTCGGGTCTTTTGATAAAGTCGATAAAGATAACAATATACATTAAATTACATGTGTTCTATATGTCAACCAGCAAAATTTACCGAGCATCCGAGTCTATATGATTTGATTAATATTTGTTATGCGACCTAACATTATAACGATAATCTCGTAATGACGAGATTATTTTGATAAATTACCCATAATATAGTTGTTGGTTGGTGTTGTCAGTATGGCGATGGTAAAGTATACTAGTCTAGTCAGAACTGTCTAGTTAAAACGCAGCGCGTGTGCCGTGTGTACGAATTTTTTAGTGTTAAAATTTATATTGATAGGCATGGAGAATCAATTTTAAATAATAAAATCTGAAAAGGGCAAAGATTTAGCGTTGGTAAATAAATGTAAATATCGGCATATTCGTCAACGAAATGACGGAAAAGTGAAATGGAGGTGCGTACATAAAACATGTACCGCAAGTATTTTAACTGACTCGAAACATACAATTCTATTGGAAATACTGGGAGAACACAAGCATACATTAGATACTGTAGAAAAAATCCAGCGTCAAATTTTGCGAGAAAATTGTAAAAGAAAAGCTAATGACACGATTTCAGTAAGACCTTCAAAAATTATAAGAACTGAGCTTTTAAAAGCGGATTATGAAGTGCCTCATAATTATATTAAATCTGTTCGAAAAAGTATGTATGATTTACGTCGAAAAGATTACCCAACATTTCCACAGTCATTAAATAGTGCTATCACACAACTTATTGAAATGCAAAACGAAGATCGCTTTAGATTTAAAAACTAAAAGTTTATTCATGTTTCTGAAAATCAAAACTTCATTTGTATTACGACGAGAACAAATATTAATTTACTCACACAAAGTGATGATATATTTATAGATGGCACATTTGAATACGCTCCTAAGTATTTTTTACAACTTTATACAATCCATGGATTTTAAAATGGTTTTTATATACCACTTGTATACTTCTTTTTACCCGATAAATGTGAAGAAACTTACATTCAAATGTGGACATTTTTAAAAAACATATGTTTTGAATATTTATCCACCAGACTATGTATCCACAAATTACATGTGGATTTTGAAAAAGCTGCACATGAAGCCGCAAAAACTATGTTTCCTGGAATAGCTATCATTGGATGTAGATTCCATTTAGGTCAGGCATGGTGGCGTAAGGTAATTAAATAATATATTGTTACTTAATTTTTATATTTATATTTTATATTTTAAAATTTTATATTTGATATTTAGATACAAGAACACAATATTTTAAGAACTTCATATTTGATAGATTGAGATGAATTAGGCATTTGGTTAAAATCATTTTTTGGATTACCGTTTCTCCCAGTGGAAAAGGTTGAAGAAGGTTTTTTAGAAGTCATGAGTACGTGTCCAAATGAAAATGGCTATATATTTTCTGATTACATACTTAAATCGTACATAGAATCTGGTTGTCTATTCCCCCCTGAATTATGGGCAAGTGAACCTTCAATTAGTCCAAGGTCACTTACATTTTATTTTTTATAATACATTTTATTTAGGGATACTGAAAAAAATTGTATTGTTAGAACCACAAACGGAGCAGAAAGTTTTCATAAAATGTACAACGGACAATTTCACAGTGCTCACCCACCAACGCATCTAGTAATATCTGTACTAATGGAAATACAAGCCGAAACTATGAGAAAAATCAATTCGATTGCTAGAAACGTGCACAGTAAAATGGGATCATCCGATTTAAAACGTATATGTAACGTTATAGAACACTTTAATAATTTTAAAACGCATAAAAATATTATAAAATATTTAACATCTATTGGCTTTATGTATCAAGGGAAAAAATTATATTAAATTATTTTACATCATATTTTTGTTTTGTAATAACGGCTCACTATAGGTATATGAGAACTATTTTTTTATTAAATTGTAATGACGGCTCACTAGGTATATCTATTTACTAGGGAAAACTATTTTTATTATATATTTTTTACAATAATTATTATATTTTTTTTTATTTTTTTTTATCATATTATTTATAATATTATTATAAATTTTTTATAATAAACCGTTTGTAATAAATTTGACAACGTTGCACCCAATTCCTATTGTATTCCTATGAACAATAAAGTGTGCGGAATCGTGTTCAAAAAAAAAAAAAACGTGCGGAATCGTATTCCTCCCTAAAAAACGATTAGCTGCAGCATCAAATTTTTCCGGGAAACTTTTTAATTCTAAACTATCATCTCAAATGACCACATCAGCTTCCATTTTCACCAAACTACAGTTACGAGAAACTAATAATAAAGCCAGAGGACGACGGTTCACATTGGAAGAAAAATTATTAAGTTTATCTCTATACAAACAAAGTGCAAAATGTTATAGACTATTATCTAAATTGTTTACATTACTTGGGCGAAAGTCGTTAACAAATTTACTGTCAAAAATACCTATTGGTACTGGTGTCGATAAATCCCTAATTGAAGTGTTGCAAAAAAATGTATCAAAATTAAATGAAAAACACAAGATCTGTGTACTTTTATTTGATGAAGTGAGTATCGAACCACATTTGCAGTATGATGATAGTACAGGATTCATAAGTGGCTTTGAAGATAATGGTATTTCTAGGACACAACAATTTGCAGATCATGCCTTAGTCTTTATGATACGAGGAGTTATAAAAAAATACAAGCAGCCAATATGTTATACATTTTGTAAAAGCACCACTAGTCGTTATGATTTGCCGAATCAAATTAAAAAGGTTGTAAAGGCTATTCATTCAACTGGTCTTAAAGTAATTGCTACCCATATGTGACCAAGGAGCAACCAACACTGCTGCAATTAATCTCCTCAAAGCAGATGCCCGAGTTAATTGTTTGAGGAAAAACATTGACTATAATGATTTATTTTATGAAGTTGATTGTGGTACAGAAATCATTAAATTAGTTCATTTATTTGATCCACCTCATCTGTTAAAGGGAATTAGAAACAATTTGTTAAATAAAAATGTTCTTTTTTATTGAAAATAATAAAAAACATGAAGCTAGCTGGAAACATATTTTAGACCTTTATAAACTAGACAGCAATATAGATGATGTTAAACTATTACCAAGGTTGACTGCAGAACATGTGATACCGGAAAAAATAAAAAAAATGAAAGTTCGGAATGCTTCTCAAGTATTAAGCCAAAGAGTGTCTTCAATCATGCATTTTTTAGCTTGTGAGTATTAGTATTTAGCTAATAGTTGTACTGTCATTAATATTTACTTTAATTTTCTATTCCAGCTAAAAATATTTTAGATGAAAATGCTCAGGACACTGCCATATTTTGTTTGTTTTTTGACAAGTTATTTGATTCGGTTAATGGTTGTTTTAATAAAATTGAAGATGGGAAAATTTTTAGAACTTCCTTTAAAACTAATTCTCCACATCATCAGTTATGGATAGACTCTTTGAAGATTCTGGAAACAATGGTCTTTATTAATCCAGTTACTAAAAAAAAAGTACACCGCAGCCACCAACATTGAAAAACTGGTCCAAAACAATAAAAGGTAAGCAATAAAATTATTGATATTTTATTTTTAAATTTGAAAACTAGTTGAATTTTGTTTAATTTTGACAGGTTTCCAAGAAGTATACAAAGTTCTGAAAAACAGTGGGGTACATTCAATTCTTTTAAGAAATTTTAACCAGGACAGTATTGAAAATTTCTTTGGAGCTATGAAAGCCTTGGGTTACAGGAACAACAACCCAACTTGCAGTAGTTTTGCATCTTCCTACAAGACCTTGCTTTTAAACAATTTGATGTCGGCCCATTCACCAGGTAGCAACTGTGAAGAGGATTCAGGTGAAGGTTGTTTGACTTCTTACAAATCTTTATTTTCTGTTTATAATGATGTTGACACGTTAGAACCAGAACATGATTCTGTTGTTGAACGAATTTCTGATGGACCAGAAAAAATAAGTATATGCAATTCAGAATTGTTGAATGATTTGGGAAACCTTACAAAAAATTATATTGCTGGATATGTAGTAAAGAAACTTAATACTATACTTTTTAAAGATTGTAAGACATGTTTAAGTCAAATTTGTTCTACATCATTAACTAAAGACCATGATGTTACTTTAGCAAGGGATTATAATCCAGATGGGAAATATTTGTTGAAATACCCTAAAAGTACATTTTGTTTATTAGTTCAACAAACAATTGATCTTATTAGTAAAAAATTACCATCCTTGTGTCATCACAAGACGTTAAAAACTGAGTTGTATAAAATTATTCAAAATGAATTAAATTGTAATTTTATAAATTGTTCTGCCCATGGTAAAATTTTTCCAGAAAAATTTGTAAATTTTTTAATAAAATTAATGGTACACAACTGGTGTACACAAATTAACAGAATTTTATCAGGTAAAATAAAATTGGGAGAAAATGAGACTGATCCCATTAAGCTAAGTGCTTACTGCCGATACGTAACTTTTTCCAAAAAAAAGTCCTTTAAATAACATTTCTTTCTTTAACATTAACTAAATCAAATTAAATTCTTGTTTTCAATTTTCCTTTTTTAACATTTCTAAATTTTTTACTACATTATTATTATTATTATTATTATTTAAAAATGTCATCAATTATCTTCAACAAAATATCATATAAAAATTCAAAATTATCAAATTAAATTCTTATTTTTCATTATCATTTTTAAACATTTCTAATTTTTTTACTTTATTTAAATCACTCAGTTAATATTTAATAATTTCATCAATTATCTTCTACAAAATAATATATAAAAATTCAAAATTATAAAATTTAATTCTTATATTTCATTATCCTTTTTAAACATTTCTAATTTTTTTACTTTATTTAAATCACTCAGTTAATATTTAATAATTTCATCAATTATCTTCTACAAAATAATATATAAAAATTCAAAATTATCAAATTAAATTCTTATTTTTCATTATCCTTTTTAAACATTTCTAATTTTTTTACTTTATTTAAATCACTCAGTTAATATTTAAAAATGTCATCAATTATTTTCTAAAAAATAATATATAAAAATTTGCTCCGCTCAATTTTGAAAATAATTTAATACAGATTCATATATTTAATAAAAAATTGTACTATATATTTGTAGATTATAAAAATACAATGACTGAAAATGAACCAAATATTCCTATTTAATTACTTTTATTTTAATTGTAAAATGCATTTTTTAGTTTTCTTATGTATGACGATAGTCAACTAGTGTGTTTGGTAGGTTGTAAAAGTAAAATTACTAATAGCCAAAAGGTATGATAATTACAAATGTTCCTTATTAAAATATGTATGTTCTGTTATATTATGTCATATTATTTTGTTATATACTTAGTATTGTTATATTTTTTTTTTTTTATTAAATTTAGAATTTTTTTGTTTGAATTTACCTTATTTAATTCAACAATGTATGATTTAATGAATTTATATTAATATGCTGATTAATATTATTAATAAGTGTTTTATAATAATAAAACCTGATTCATATTTAATGTTGATTGTTTTCCTTTGTCTGTTTGATAAAACTAGTTTTAACACGTTGACCGCCGTGTGCCCGCCGGCGGTCATTTGGTAAGTTATTTATGGACGCCACGGCGTATTTCATCGGGATTCCTAAAATGTTATCGTCGATATTTATAGTACTATTCGACGGAAAAATATAAAATTGATATCTATGTAATTGTCTCGGTCTCATGATTATTATTTTTGCATTGACATTGTTTGGTAGCCGGCGGGCACGTGGCGTAGTGATAATGTCATTATTACTTATACGCCATTTGACTACCGGCGGTCACGTATGCTGCGTATTCTTTTATTACAAACATTTATTTATTATATTTAAAATGCATTCGCGACCAAAACGAGTTAAATTAAATGATGATTTTATCAATCAACTATTAGAAGACAGTAGCGACAGTTTGCTAAGTGAATTTGATGATTCAGATGCAGACAAGACGTACAATCCCGTCAGTTCTTCGGAGTCTGATGTCCTAAGTGGTAAGAAAATTTATATTATTTTACGGATTTTTATATTTTACTGTGCCCTAAATTATAAAAAATTATAAATTGTCATTTAGTTAATATTTATAGAACTATTATGTTAAGTTTTTATTATTCAAATTAGGTATTTTCATAATTCCGTATATAATTTATATAATTATTGATTCTCTATAGAGCTAAGTGATAATAATGAACCAAGCACCTCGAGCAATATTTCCGTAGCATCACAAACTTGGACAAATGTAACTGGCAATTATCAAAAACCACTGCAATTTAATAATAATTCTGGACTGAAAATCGATATATCAGTTGATTCTACTGCTTGGGATATTTTTAATTTATTCTTGACTAATGAAATAATTGATCTTATAGTCGAAGAAACCAATAAAAATGCCCAACAATTTTTATCAAAAAACAGATTGACAAAATCTAGTAGATTTTCTAAATGGATTCCTACAGATCAACAGGAAATAAAAAAAATTTTCGGATTAATTATTTGGATGGGGTTAGTTCAAATGCCCACTTTGGAAGACTATTGGAGTATAAGTATAAGATATAAAAATAATGTAGCGCAAAACACTATGTCAAGAAATCGGTTTGAATTAATTCTTAGATTTTTACATTTTTCGGACAATGAAAAAGCTCCAAATGACGACAGGATTTATAAAGTGCGCGATTTAATTAATAAGTTAATTGAAAATTTTCAAAAAATACTTGAACCTGAAGAGTATTTAGCTGTTGATGAGACAATGGTCCCTTTTAGAGGGAGGTTAATTTTTAGGCAGTATATACCAGGAAAAGCGCACAAATATGGTGTAAAGTTGTTCAAGTTATGCGGAACAGATGGCTATACGTATAATGTGCAAGTATATGCTGGCAAAAGTCAAGTTGATGGAAAAGGTCTAGGATGCAGAGTAGTGTTGGACTTAAGTCAGAGATATTTGAATGCTGGGCGGACAATAATCACTGATAATTTTTATACCTCAGTGCCATTAGCATATGAACTTTTAAAAAACAACACACACTTGGTAGGAACATTACGATCGAACAGAGTTAAATTACCAGAAGTAACCAATGCTAAATTAAAACCAAATGAAATAGTTGGAAGGGAAAATATTGATGGGATCGTCATAGCTAAATGGAGGGACAAGAGGGACGTCACAATGTTAACCACACATAACATCAATATGGTAGATACAGGAAAAAAAAATAAAAAAAAAGAAAATATTGTTAAACCTCAAATTATAATTGATTATAATAAAGGAAAAGCTGGTATAGACTTGTCTGACCAGCTATCAAGTTATAACTCTTCTGTTCGAAAATCCATCAGGTGGTACCACAAAGTAGCTATTGAACTTTTGTTTGGAACTTCTATTGTGAATGCACTTCTTATATATAATAAAATAAAACCTAATAACAAGTTAAAAATCACACAGTTTCGAGAAGCGTTAGTAGATGAAATATTAGGACTCAAAAAATCAAATGAAAATGAACAGCTAACATCTACATCAACACAAAGGACACAAAGACGAACTACGAAACATATCTTTCAAGAAACTACCGAAAAATGCAAAAGGAACAGGAAAATTCGAAAAAGGTGCGCTCATTGTTACGAAAAACAAAAATGTCTCGAGGGATCTGTGAAGGCAAGAGAAGTAAAGAAGATATCGACATTTTGTGCTACTTGTAATATATATCTTTGTCTAAGTTGTTTTAATATTCACCATATTAACTAGGTAATCACAATGTTGAATAATTTTATTTTTATTTTATTTTATTTTAAAAGGAACAATATTATTTTCAAAAATTAATTTTTATTAACCAGTTGTAATTTTGTGTTATAATTTTTACGTATTTTACCTAAATAATAAAAAAAATATGAAAAATAAAATTACTAATGTATGATTTTTAGATTTAAAACATGTTGGTAAAAAATATTTTTTTATTATGATAGAATCGTCCAATCATATTAAAAACTATACCATTCGATGTGTTATTATCTTCTCTACGCCATGATGTAATAATATACACGATTCATTGAACGCCACAGTATAAATTCACGTTTAAAAATGTATAAGAATATGGAAGCCCGCGTCCACATGGCGTGGATGTTATAAGGTAGTTTGACAGCCGGCGACCACAAAAGCAGTAATAAGTTTCTAGTTAGTGTGACCGCTGGCGGGCACATGGCGGTCAACGTGTTAAATATATTAAGTATTTATGCAATATTTAAAGTTGTTATGTCACAAAAATAAATTAGATCAATATGAAAAAAAAAGTAAATAATAATTAAAAAAAAAAAAAGAAAATAATAATTTTAATATATTTTAAAAACGGCGGGAATATATTTTGCACCGGCTGCCGCTGCCGCGCCGTAGTTACTTCCATCAAACACCGGGAGCGCTGTTTTCAATGTTACAAAAATTAACACTGCGGTTGCCTATCTATTACAATTCTTGTCTATGCCTCCGCCTTCCTGGTGAACTTTTCCACGCCGCGCCCCCAGAGGCGAGGTCGCCGGATTTCGTCGCGGCTCTCAAGTCGTCTATGGCTGAGCTTCGACCGTCGCCAGGATCCAATCACGACCCGGCCCGTCGTGTCTTCATACCCACGCAGCTCAACGCTGTTAGTCATGTTTTCGTCCGCATCGACGCTCAGCGCGCTCCACTGCAACCGCGTTATGAGGGACCCTACGCTGTACTGGATCGACGAGAGAAGGACTTCAAACTGCAGCTGGGCAACCGACCGTCGTGGGTGTCAATGGATCGGCTCAAACCTGCCTTCGTCCTACGCGACGACCCAGTCCTGGACCATTCGTATTCCATGCAGTCCGTGGACAGACGTCCGACATCGAAAACATCTTCAGCATTTTCTCCTTCGTCGGGGGGGGGGGGAGTGATGTGCCGGACCGGCGCCACATGACCTCCCTCCGCAGTCGGTAGTATCGTTGTATTGTACAGGCGGTTGGTCACATTGCGTTCGCACCGGGCGGTGGCCGACTCGCGCTCTCTCCTGGTATCTGCCTAACTGAACGCACGTCCCTTTATCCCTGTTACTGAGGCCATTCTTTTCGCCATTTGCACAGCCACGTCTCGTCTCTCTCCCGCATCGCTAAACACGCGACTGACCGTCTCATCGATTGATTATAAATCGCCTTTTTTCGTAACAATTTTGTGTTGTACGTTCACTGCTCGAATTATCCCTGTATTACAGTGCATTGCGCGAATACTAAAAAACCTATTTGCGAATGTTAATTATTCATTAAATAAATTACCATCTTAATGCTTAACGATTGTTGTGTGTAAAACTTCGAATCAGGTACCTATCTACTCGAATCGTTGGAGGCCTACCGTGATAAAGGCAAGTCCCCTACAGTACCAATGATAATATACTAAATAAAAAAAACAGTGTTTACCATAGTCATTGTTGTGTTATATATCTACCTTCATTAAATACCTTAATCCTAATTTAGTCAATTTAAACTTATATTGAATCAGATTCTTACTTATTATTAATGTAATATCTTACATTATGTACTTTGGTACTATTTTATGTTTATGCTAGTACACACTACATAACATCAAGAATGTTACTTTACCGAGGAGTAAAATGTGTTTATGATAGTATAAGGTGAACGTTTAAAAAATATTAAGTTTTAAAATTCTAATTACTTTTAATTACAAAATTAATGTGTGAAAACTTAATGCGTTAAGTTAATAATTACTTACCTAGTAAAATAATTAAATCAATTTATGATTTTATTAACAAGTGTTTAATTACAAAGTATTTGAAAATTATTACACATGGCAAGTATTTGTATATCTGAATGGATGCTTTATGTGGGCAATATATACATTATAATATACATTATTATACAGGGTGTAATTCATAGGCGTGCGCAGGAAATTTTTGCTGAGGGTGCACAGTACAAATTGAAAATTGTAGTATGTTACCTAGCCATGTAACAAGTCGGGCCAGGATTAATAAAAAAAAAAAAAATTAATAATTATTTTTTAATGATTTCATTTCTCTTAGAAGTCAATAATATAATAATCATATAAGTCAATAAATTATAATTCAGTTTTTATTTGTTTTGGTGATGAAGGCTTAAAAAAGTCATACAAGGTTGTTGACTTTATTTTTCGTGACATTTTAAATTTTATATCACGTAACTATAGTTAAATACTTAAATATACTGTTTACCTACTAAACTTCTTTATAATTAATATATTAAATCAATAAAATGTATAAATTAATCAAACACGCGAGTACATTACCCACCATAAAATAATTATTTTGCACTACGACTACGCTGCCAGGGATTCTTATTTCTTACTGTAAACAACAACAGTTACTAATGTGTTTTATTATCAGTTATCACAATTAATAATAGCAATTCAGAAGTTATAAATAACTTTTGGTATAGCCACTTTTACGATACCTAACTATCGACAATCGAGCCGCGATAACGGAAAACGATTTTAACCGTGTACCTATCGTACATACCAGCCTGCTGCTGCACTCACTGCTGCACTCACGTGCAGTCTTGTAAAGAATACTTTTATTTTGTATTCGGAATACATATTCGAATAAATGTGAATTAAGGTATTCAGAATTAGGGGTGCGCGATTATTTTTTTCTTGAATAATCGATTGTTTTTTTAAATACTTTAAAATAATCGATTAATCGATTATTATTGATTTTTTATTATAATTGTTAATTGAACATACGTGAGTCGATTAACCGATCAATTGCGAGTCGATTAATCGATTAATCGATCAATTGCGAGTCGATTAATCGATTAATCGATCAATCGTGAGTAGATTAATCGATTAATCGTGAATAGATTAATCGATATATCACTAAATTAATTTATGTAGCTATTTATAATTAATCAATTCAAGAATTCAGCAGATAGGAATATACTAGGATCGTTATAGTGGAAATGATAAACATTAAACGTATCATTTTAGAACTTTCGATTTTTAGTGGACTACTGACAATGCTGCATTTAGACTCTCCCCTTCCCCCGGTGTTAAAAAATTGGTGACATCCCGGCAGAGGCCTACCCACGGGCCACCGGTAATATTGGAGATAGATCATAGATCCTCGTGAACTTTTTAGATCTTGAGAAAAGAATCTACTGGTTTTACAATATTGTGTTTTTTTAAATATTGTTTAATAATTTCATGACCCACTTTTCCGAAAGTAAACCTATAATTTATTAATATTTTAATAATTAAAGCTGATAAATGTTTAAGTGTTTCTTTATTTTCAGTTATCTTTAAGCTTATATATCTTAGGATTTCAAATGTTATCAGCTAGACATTGTGATTTGTGGTGCTGGTGGTCAGAAACTCAGAACTCAGAGTGTCGGACCACTCAGACTGATATAATTATTAAAATTACTTAATATAGGTATTGTTTATGTTGTCAAATTGATTATTTATGTTGTCAAACTGTTAAATTTGTTATAGGTAAGGAAAAATAATTATATACAAAATTTGTAATCCTTATGCACTTATACAACATGTTCAACTAACTGTCTTTGTTATATAGTAATGAGAATTTCTTGTTTACTAATAAAATATAAGATATAAGTTTAAAAGACTTTTGTAGAGTTTTTGGTGATTTTAAAACCTTCAACTTCTACAACATAATGTATGCTAATAAAATATATCAATACATTTAGTCACATGTATCATATAGGTATAAGTTAAAGGTTAGATACCTAGATAATTAGAATAAATACATTTAACAAAGTTATAATACTTATTTTATTTGAATAATTAAAAAACAACATTTACTTGTACAGTACAGTCTTGTACTCTTGTCAATCTCAAATTCTCCACTTTGGAGTAGGTATTTAACAAATAATATAAATAGTTAAAAATATAAAATAAAATGTAAAACCTTTTTTAAAAAAAAAATTTGAATTTAAATGTAAAAAAACATAACCTCCTAGTCAAGTAGTCAACTGAAGTGTAAAAAAATTAAAAACCCTTTTTTGGAATAAACTAAAAACATAAATTTACAATAGTAAAATAATTGTATTTATTAAACAGGAATTGGAACATGGGCCTTATTCGCAGATAGAAAAACAAGTTGGCTAGCATGATCATTAGTAAGTGTAGCTCTATGATCTGTGACTATAAGACCTCCTTTGCTAAAAACCCTCTCAGACGCCACACTAGTAGCTTGAATGGTGAGAAATTTTCTTGCAAGAATGGTTAAAAAAGGGTACATCGATGAATTTAAATTCCACCACTTTAGAGGATTTTGACAAAATGATATTGTAGGTAATCCTGTATAAAACTCAATTTCTTTCTCTATTTTATGTGGTGTAGTATCATCTTCCTAAATAAAACAAAATACAAATAATATGTAATAGCTAGTAGTGCAGATCAGAATGGTTTAACTAGGTTTTATAGTCTTACTTGATTTAAAGATCGATTATTAGGAACATTTGGCTCTCCGAATATTGCAAGCAAGCCAGATTGTTTAACTTTTTTGGATGGAGAACTATAATTGTCCATTGATAAATTATCAGTTCCATCTTCTTTACCATTATGCATTTCATTCCAAACCAACCAAGCACTAAGACATTCAGTTTTCATGGCATATTTGACAGATATTTGATCAGTATCATTTATATATTTCATCTTAAATCGAGGATCCAGTACCATAGTAATTTTTAATGCATTGTTGTCATTATAACGATTATCGAGCAAATCCGAAATTGTGTTATACATTTCGGTTTTTAATTCAGCTGTATTTTCATTTGTGGATACCTCATTAATTTTATTTTTTATATTATTAATTACTGGGTATATAGCAGAAGCAGTTACATAGGTTTCCCCTGCTAAATTATCTGCAATTTCTCTAACAGGACTTAAAACCATTTCAATACATTTTAAGACTTCAAACTCTTCAACATCTATTATACATTTTTTATACTCTCCTTTTTTGTAGGTACGTAAAAAACTTGATAAAGCTAATTCTTGGGTAATAACAACTTTAATTAAATCGAGAAGAGACCACCATCTGGTTTTTGAATATGACGGAATTTTTATACATTTTAAACCAAATCGTTCTTGTTCAGTTTTTAAATGTTTTACTGCCTGCCAGCTATGTGCAAAAATATTTTGAATTTTTTTTACTTTTACTACAATTACATTTACTTGTTGAAGAAGAAATATTCTTCCGACAGCTATGTTAAAAGCATGCCCAAAACATGGTGTATGAGTAATATTCAAATTTTTAACTGCTTTTAATACATTTGATCCATGGTCAGTTGTAAATGAACATATTTTATTGCTTGGGATTTCAATATTATATTCCAAGAATAACATAATCAATGCATCAGCTATATTGTCACCAGTATGATCTTCAATAAGTTCAATACATCCCAAACATATACAGCCTGTAAATTTAAAAATAAATAATTTAAATGAGTTAATAATACTAGGGCAATAAATTAATGACCTGTGGGCTACGTATGTAAAAATTACATTGAATGTTTGTTATTTTTTTGTTCTTCAACAAAATTAAATAAAAAAAGCTGATAAAAAATTTAACTATGACTAAAATAATTAGGTAGTATTTTGGTTTTTGTACATACCTAAATTAAAATCATTGTCAATATAATGACCTGTCAAAGCCATAAATGGCTGATTTGCTACTGATGTCCAACAGTCAGTAGTGAATGACATGAACAATGTATTTTTTGCAATAGTTTCAACATTTTCCTTAGTCACCTTGTAGAGATAAGGTATCCTTGATTCAGTCATTGTTTTGCGGCTTGGAATTTTATAACTAGCATTAAGGGCATTTGTATACATTTTAAATCCATCTTTTGAAACAATACTATACGGCATCATATCTGTAGAAATGAAATAAGCTAGCACATTGTCGATTCTTGCCTGAGCAGTTGCAGTAAGTGTATAAGATGTAATTGGTAATTGGTTCATTTTTTTTTCATTTTTCATTTTTGAGCTGGTACTGTTTACTGAACATGGAATTGTTGTAGCTGTTGATGAAAATGAACCCCTAAAAATAAAACTTGAGACATTAAACCAATTTAAATTCACATTATAAGTAAATTATTACAGTAAACATTTTTGACATTGTTAAACTAAATTATAATTTAACCTAAACGTTTGTGTATAATATTTTAAAAATTTAAGTGTTAGCCTAAAATATTAATAAAAATTGTATGATCCAACTAATCTAATATATATTATAATAGGTAGGTAGTAATAATTTGTTGAAAATCAGTTATTTAAAAATATAAATTTTAAAAAGTAAAAAAGTAGGTATTTATATATGGCTATATTTAGTTAATTACTTTAAGGATAGGTAGTAAAAACTTATTGCTTAACATAAAACTTAAAAAAATAATAATAGATAATGAAAAAATGAATAAAACATTTTCAATCATTATTTATTCTTATTTAATATCCCAATAAATAGGTGGTTATTTGTGTCATAGATGTGACGTTATTACGTTAACAATCGGCCTATCACTTATCAGAATTCACTATGCAGTACGACAGTCGACACTAGTAGAGTACCCAGTGGTCAGTAGTCAGTAGTCAGTACTCAGTAGTCAGTACCCAACTTTACCCTACTTAAATAATTAATACTTAATAGATTACTTCTTAATATATCATAGTCCATAGATGGACAATATTTGTTACAAATAATACACATAAATAAAACTTACTCATCATCACATTCATCAATGTTAACTAACAACGAGGATGGCGATGGCGATCCTGAAAATCCTTTGCGCTGATCATCCAACTCTTTAAATTTTGACTTGTGCTTGGACTGAAGGTGATTCCATAAATTTGTTGTATTTGTACCTGAATTGGCGTACGTCTTTTTACAGATTTGACATTGGGCACGTAAACCACAGTCAGTTTTAATAAAAACTTGCCACACTTCACTCATGATTTAAATTGAGGTAATAGTCATTAGCCAATAGGTAATTGTAAATTCGTATATCGTAATTCGTAAACTAAACGTTATTTTAATAATAATTGTAATGACGACGTTATGGATTAAAGTAACACATTTTGTATCTACAGAAGATATAAATAGATCAATAGTCAACATTTTCCAATGTTTTATTATGATAACGGATATTATATTTTTATCGTGTTTCATTAATCTGTGATACTACACACAACAATCGATTTTTTAATTGTTAATCGATTGGCTGATTAATCGATTAATCGAAACAATTAATCGATTAATCGATTATTTTTTACGATTAATCGATTTTCCGATTAATCGATTATCTAAAATTTTTAAAAATAATCGATTAATCGATTAATTGATTAGGATCGATTAATCGATTGTCATAATCGCGCACCCCTATTCAGAATACGTATTCGAATAGTTCTTATAAAATATATTCATAATACATATTCAAATACTTTAAAAAGTATTCGAATACTATAAGAATACTTTTTTTCACAAATAATTGTTGTCAGTTTTTGAATGGTTGGTAATTACTAATTAACATTTATTAATCAATAATTAAAATTACTTTGTAATCATAAGCTACTTATAAATTTTGACCACATATGATACGGCCGATACAAATTATACGTGATAAAACACATTGGTATTTATAAAAATAATCATATCATGGGCCAAAATTAAATTTCATTCAAAGAATAAAATTAATGTTCGTGAATTATAAGATGTTTTGTCACAAATTTAAAACTATTTTACTGGATCGGAAAAAGTATTTTTTTAATCAATAAAAAATACAAATAAAAGTATTCAAAATACGTATTCGAATACTTTAAAAAAAAAGTATTTAGAATAGTATTCGAATACAAAAAGAGTATTCAAATACTTTTATTCGAATACATTTATTCGAATACTTTACAAGACTGCTCACGTGTGACCGCGGGCTTGAAAAAAATTATAAATTTAAAAAATATTATTTATCTATCAATCTATTTCTAAAATTAACTCGCTGGGGGTGCAGTTGCATACCCTGCACCCCCCGTGTGCACGCCTATGGGGTGTATCTTATGTCATTGTACGCGGGGTTTTTTGACGATTACGGAACGATGATATGGAATTTCGTTAAAACCAAAAAAGACGTGTTTCTTTATTTTTAACAAGCATTTTTTTTATAACAATTTCAAAATTTTTAAACACGCAGGTATACCA